GCCACAGTGAACAAAGCAGCATAGCGCAACGAATTCAATTCAAATCAATATAAGACTTATTTGTAACCCACATCAACAATTATGTTATGATAAATTACGTAATAACTACAACAGAAGCCATCAGTCGGCTCTTTGTTACTTCGGAAACATGGCTTGAACAATTTCTCTTCCACGACAGAATCCGATAAAAAACAATCTCTTTACCCGTCGGCTTCCCGAGGCTGTCATGCGACCGGCTATTGCAGTTAATAATGCCATTCTTTGTTTCTTTTTATCGTTGTGTGACTGTTTTCTTATGAAAGCCTGCGTGCGCTAGTACCGCTTGCCACTCGTACCTACAATCCTTTGCGGTTTTACCCCGGAAATTACATCACATTTTCGACCTCTATACAAAAGATGGATATAGTCAGTCATTGGTTTCTGGATTTGCATATTGAAGCCTTAATTTGAGCATTTTTGCTGCATAAAATGGTAAATGGCCTGCATTTGTATAGCGCTTTACTCAGTCTCTAAGGACCCCAAAGCACTTTACACTACATTCAGTCATTCACCCATTCACTCACTGGCAATGGCAAGCTACGTTGTAGCCACAGCTGCCCTGGGGCGCACTGACAGAGGCGAGGCTGCCAGACACTGGCGCAACCGGGCCCTCTGACCACCACCAGTAGGCAACCATGGGGTTAGTATCTTGCCTAAGGATATTTGGCATGCAGCCAGGAGGCAGCGTGGGATCGAACCACCGATCTTCTGATTAGCGGCTGACCTGCTCGGCCACCTGAGCTACAGCCACCCCACGCGTAGTGTTTCTAAGACTGGAAAGCAAAACTATATGCTTATCAGTAGCATTATCAGTCAAAGCATAGCTAAATTGTACTCTGCAGATGGATTTAACATCACGAAAGACTTGAAAGTAGCAACCACAATCATAAGTTTATTAGGAAAGAATTTACTTAGGTCATAAATGTGGTATGCAGATGGCCCGTTTTCCCATAGACTTCTATACATTTGAACTTCTTGATGCAGCAAGACTAGTCGCCCCCTGCTGGCCATAAAAGAACACAGTTAAAGTACCTAATTGGCTTTGCAGTGGGTTTTTTAGACCAGAGGCTGTGTGTTTTTTAAACGAAGCTAGCAGGATGTAAACGTAAAAACACAGAAATTTAGCCCCCTGGAACAACTATCTTGCAAACTATATCAGGGGTCTTGTTATCAGGGGTGGGTGGGGTGGGGGCGAGTACAGTCTGCATCACCCATAGAGCCACAGCCTCCACATTTAATGGGAAATCTGCCAGGCAGCAATAAATCCTTTAAACGGCAGAAAGTAATACCTAGAACTAAAAGGACAGAAAGGGCTAAGGCAGGTGAGCTCTGATTGGAAAAGAGTTCCCAGATGCTCGCAAACACAATGTTTGCAGTCTTGATTACATACTGGCAGCCTCAGCATGCACACATCTCCATGGCCAGAGGGTGTGTGAACCTCCGCTTGTCTGACTGTATCCACAATAACAAGGTGCCAGACATTGTGTCTTGTTCTCAGTTAAGGACGCACACACACACTCTTTTCTCTGACCTCCTACCTCTTTACTCCCCCACCCTCCCTTCCTTGTCTCTCCACCAGCTGCAGAGCACAGGCCGACTGCTGGAAGAGCAGCTCCCCGAGATGATGACAGAGCTCTTAGCAGCTGTCAGAGACAAGATGCTTTGTCCCGCCGAATCTCCGCTGACTCGCTCTCTGCTCATGGAGGTCATCGAACTGCATGCGCACCGTTGGAGCCCCCTGGAGGCTCTCACTACCCAGTACTACAACCGTACCATCCAAAAGCTCACCACCACTGCCTAGGTGCCAGCTCCCACAGGAGAAGAGGAGATGTGTCCTCCTCACCCCAACACAACAGATGTTTTCTGGTTATGCATTGTAATAATCTCTGTTGCCTAAAGAAGTAAATGTCGCTATTGAGCTTAACTGTAAATTCCATTATTAAAAAACAAAACGGATAAGAAAAGGTGACCGCTACCACAGACAAATCATGTAAGAGCCTCCTAACAGGTAACCCAAAAAGCCAACACTACATGTGCCACATTTGGCACACATTTGAGAAGATGGTAACTGATAGGTAGTCAGTGTGGGTGTGTTCGGCCACATGGAGCCTGAGAGCTTGGCTGGCTGCTGGATAAAGGAGGGAAGAGACAAGAGAGGGGTCACGTAGCAGAGAGGAGGAGAGGGCAGCGGTCTGTCCGTGGGGAATAGAGAGATCTGTGCCCAGAGATGAATAGAGGACGGAGAGCGAAGGGGCGGGTGGGGGCCGGGGTGGTCTGTGTCAGTCTCTTCATTGTGTTCGTTTGCCACACCTCCCCTCCTCCCCTTCCCTCTTCTGTCTCTCCGTTAGCCCCCAGGGTCTGTGTGGCTGATAAAAGAGAGAAGGAGGCAGGGAGCAGACACAGTGCTGTCTGTCTGGGCTGTCTGCCCTGCCAGGCCAGGGACCAGGTCAAAGGGCCTCGCTGTGGAGCCCCCCCACAGCTCCTCCCTGCCTTTGTCTCCCCGACACCCCCCACCCAGCAGGAAGCCCTTTTGAGGAGATGAGACAGCGGGCCTGCTGGGCCAGGCTGGGTTGGGGATAAAGATCAGGCTGGCTAGAGTAGGGTGACAGATGGCTGCTTGAGCCCCTGTGAGACGACACACTCCGAGCACACCCCACTGGCACCCCAACTCCCCGTTCCCCAAGCTCAGACCCACACAGCCAATAGAAGCAGTAGAAATATTGCAGAGGGTGGGGTGAGGGGCGAGCAGCATTAGGAAATTAAATCAGACACTGCTGTCTGATAATTCCTTTGTTTTTGTCTTGCTACGGAATGTCTCTTCTGCTGTTAAGCCGTGCACGTCTATGCTTCGTTAACCACATCATCATCATGATTATATTTTTTTTTATCATTTATTGTTTTTGGTTATCAATGTTTCATTTTGAAGTCCTTTTTCAATGGTTATATGTATGAAATATAGTCATAGGCCTTATTGCACAGGATCGATTTGTTTTGCACCGTTTTGAGGCGATTTGCTTTAAAAACTCTGAAAAAAACAGTAACGGTAACAGAGTAACGGTGAATTCAAGTAGAGAGAGATCTGAGTTAAGCATAGTGAGGGATTTGAGGATGTTTTAATGGACTAGTGGCCTTGTCAATTGCCCTTTTTTTCTCTCCGTTGTTTAGGGCACAGCAGCGAGCGTGCTGAGGACTTTATCGCATCGTTGTGTTGTTGAAGGAAATATATATAAATATAAAACAACTGAAAAAGTGATGTGACAACTAAAAGAAAAAAAATAAGCATGGCACACAATGAAGCAGAAGTACAATGCTTCTTTACAATTTCCTCCTACGCAAGCCATTCTTTGCAGTGGATGTTTTTGCAAGTGTTTAATATCGACTGTAGTTTGGTCTTGATTTTTTTTTCTTTTTGGAGAGAAATGACAACTATTAACCTGTGTATTTGAAGATGACATTGACGACAAGAAAAATCTTAACTGTTTGACCTCATATTAGCTAGTCATGTGTGACCCTTATTCCAGCTAACGTGTGTACTGCAATAGTCATACCAAGCCAATCACGTTTGTTTGGGGGGGGTTGTTTTTGTTTTTTTAAATGGGCTCTCTATATATAATCTGCATACGATATAATTACAAGTATTACAAAAAAACCCACTTAAATTTGGGGAATAATGCAGCAGTGATGTTACACATAGGAAGGCTGTGGTTGTGTGGCTACAAGTTAGCTCATGCTTTTTCATCAGGAAGTAGCTGTTTGGGAGTAATCACACACACATATATGCTTAGTTCCCACTGATTCTCTGTGGGCTGTTTTTATATTATTATTATTTTCTGTGTCTTGCATCAAGAATTAAGATCCTGTGTGGTAGAAACACACCCCAGAAGATTAGTTAGATGAGATGGGTGACAATTTTTTTTTCTTTTTTAAGCTCAGATGTTTTTTGAAGACGCATCCCAATCATCTGTACATGTGTGTCTGCTTAAGAAGTAATCTGTTTTATTGTTTTGTCTTTTGTTGTCGTCTTATTTTGTTTTTAGGTTTGTATTTAAATTATATTTAGCTCATTTATATATATATATATATATTAAAAAGAAACATTTTTTTTCTTCTGGTGGGTTTTTAACACATCTGAAGCAGTGATACCTAGCTTGCTGGCAAGTGTGTAAGTTTGGTATTTCTGGGGTTTCCTTTGTGAAAAAAGAAAGAAGGCCATCAGTCAGTATCCATTATGCAAAGAGCGGTTCCCTCTCTCAGCAGATTGGGGCAGGTGGGGATTGCCCCCATCATCTGTGGCACCCCCTCCCCCCACCTCCAACCCCTTGTGCCCTTAGACCCCTGCGCTCGGGTCACGTGACTCACTCGACGACTGAATGAGATGCACCCTCATTTGGATTTTCTCGTGAATCTTGACAAAACGAGCGGCCCGGCCGACGCGCGGACGAGCTTTTGGGATTGATGACGGTGGATCATCTGTGATGAGCTTTTGTTTTTGTTTTTCTAAGCAGCTGAAAAAATAAACTAATAGGAAAGAAAAGATGTGCTGGAACAAACTCTGGTGTGTGTTGGGGGTTTTTTTGCCTTCTTTTCTGTCTCGTCAATTTCTCAGTGCAGTCACATGGAAGCTGGCGTGGTATCACTAGACAAAAAAAAAAGAAAAGTCATTCAGACACGACAAAAGAAACAATAGCACACACGTGGTTGGCTCCGCCGTCAGCAGACAGACTGCGTAACTAATCGTGGCGCCGCAGTGGGTCATTTTACTAACAATTCATACGTGTGCACGCTGCAGCTCATTTACATCGTCACACATTAAGCCGAACACACTTTAGAAATTAACAGCGCCGTCTGTGTTGGTGTGCACGACTGCCATGCAGCGACCTTCATCAGTGACTCGCCTTTGCTGAGCCCCCCAACATATGCCTGGGGGCTCCACGACTTTGGCGTCCCGATAGGCGCTCTTAATGCAGGGGTTACTTCCCCGCTGAGGGCCCCGTCCCTCAAACCTATTGGATGTCCTCCAGCCCTTATCCACAGCGATCAACATAATCCCACGTGATTATTCTGAACACTTAAACACATGTGACAGGCTGAAACGTTAGATTTCTTTGTTTTATTTCACACAGAATCACAACACAAACAGGGCCAGTAAGGAAGTTATAGATGTGCTAATCTGGCAAACAGGGAAGTGAAAACACGCCAGCAGCAGATGCAAGAGGGGATAGAAATGAAATACTAAAATGAGTGAATGCTCATATCATACAGGGGATGATTAATGAATAACTGACACTGATGGCCAGCACCGGTCACACTTAATTCAGCTTGGTACAGTAAGAACAGGCAGAAACACTGTAACTTTAAAGAATGAAGATTGTGTCTTCCTTTGTCTGTCACTGGGCCCAACACTGACTAATGAGTGAAAGAAAGGTTTGTAATCCAGAATTCGAGATGACATCTGCCCATTTTCCTATTGCTCCATAACTATTCCATAACTATTAACTCTGGGCTGGAGGTGGAAAGAAGGCTGGGTAATTACAATTTTGGTTTGCAAAGATTAAAACAACATTGTTGGGGACAAAATTCGTACTGCTTTTTGGGGGCTGAAGCCTATCCCAGCTGTCATACGGCGAGAGGCGGGGTACACCCTTGACAGGTTGTCAGTCTATCACAGAGCTAACACAGACACACACAGCTGACACCCACATCCACACCTAGAGTCAGTTTAGTTTCACCAATTAGCCTAACCACATGCATATCTGTGGGAGGAAGCCATATTACCTGGAGAGGACCCACTCAGAAAGGCCCCAGGCTGGAGTCAAACCCAAGACCTTCCTGTGCGGTGACGGTGCTAATCACCGCGCCATCCTAGATGCTAGATAAGCTATATGGAGCAAAAAAAAAAAAACACCCACACTTTTCTACTTCTAAAAATGTGCATATAATTAACATAATTCTGCTTTTGTTATTCACTATTCTGTTTTCCATTGTCTCATTCCAATGTATTTTTGGTTGTCAAAATCAAACTGGTTAACAACGGATCATACGTTTTGGATCAAACCGAACCATTAATCACCTTGTTTGAGAAAATCATTGGCAGGTCCTTTTAGTGTCTAAACAACCATTAGTTAAAGCCCATAAATAGAGCACACAAATAAATATAATCAAGCCTCGGGGCACCGTATGATGACTCGAGCTTTGCCGACTTTGCGCTGGCACTGAAGAATGAATGGATCCGTGTGCGTGTGTGTGCGCAGGGTGACTCACACAAGCATCGTCCATTGTGTGAGCCAGACAAAAAGCTGGGTGCATCTCTGCTGGCCTCGATGACGAACCAAAGCCGAGGAGGGAGGACACTCACTTTAAGATGACGGTTTACGAGCGCAGACGCACTCCCACAAACTTCAACACACAAGTGCCAGCACAGCTCTTTGTGGCTGCGTCTTGTATTTTTATTTATTTTTTTACTTTTTTTAAGTTGTCTGATGGCTCACACACTGTATTTTTTTAGACCCTTGGTGGGGTTTTTGTGTGTGCGTGCCCTCCCGTCTGCACAGCATGCGCGTTTTTGTGTTTGATCGGCACACAGGCAAAGCCGGAGGAGAGCACTCCAGATTGTTTTCTGTGTAGTCCGAGGGCTGCAGAGGCCAAACATTGTGTAAAACAAAGTAGATTTGAAACGCGCAGAAGCATCCCCAGATGTTTTTTTTTCCTCTACTGTATGCTTTGCTGTGGGAGAAATCAATAACTGTGGGCTACCAAGTGGTTTTAGCTCGCTCTCTTGACCTTTTCCAACTCAGCAGCAGCTACTGCGCAGCAGTTTATTCCACTCTCCCAAAAAAACTGACTCCATCTCAACTATAATTGGATTCAGACATTTTTAACTGTGTCAACATATTCTGGAGCTAAAGTAGATACCGAGACGTTTAA